TATTTTATACATTTCTGTATTGTTTCAATAATAATAAGCAGCACTTATTTTTTAAATAATTTAGAACAATTATTTCAATAAAAGTAATAAATGTCTTTAAAAAAAAATCTTCTGAGTGGATCATTCCTGTCCCAATAGTTAGTTAACAGGGAAAAAATAGCACTCAAGATGTTTACAAATCACAAAACCTAAAATATGAGAAATAAAAAAAAAAATCATGAAAGGAAAACTAAACCAAAGAATTAAGTTATCTTCCACCCGAACTGCACAATCATTTGCTTATCTACATTCCTTCTGAAGGGATCTTGTTTTCATAAATATAAGAAGTTCCTGGGACATGGTAGTTGTAAGTACAAGTAACTAAATTGTGAAAATATGTGAAAAGATCCGTGTTAACCTTAGAAATGCTAGCAATGAAAAAAAGTGTCATGCCACAGTTTTGAACTTCATTGTTTTAATATCATGAAATACAAGTACGAAATAGTCTACAAGTTTTGCTACATGAAGTGAGAACAGTACAGAATTAGTACCATCTAGCCATTATACCAACAGACTTACATGGGAATTTCTGATTAATTCTAGGAAGTTTCATCATGAATAAAAAAGCTTCCAACTCTTTCCCACTGCAAATGTACAGTTATGTTAATGTGCCTCTTCAGGTGTTTTGGAGAACCTCAGCCAAGGGCCCAGTGGATAATCTGATTTCATGGTGCTTGAGCTTTCCTATGCTCTTACCTGGGAACAAAACTGGGGGTCTTGTTAGCCCTCTTCCTATTTAGAAGGCAAATCATCATTTCCTGAAAAGCTCAGAATATTATGATAATAACTGGTTACCAGTAATGCACAGACCCCATTTACCTAAGACAAATCCACGGCCAGAATCAGAAGACTCCACGTGTGCTGGAGAAAACCAAATCTGCAAACATTCCAACTGTCTTGCCTGGTTTACTCACATCAACTTAGCACAGTATCATGAGCCAATAAAGAAAAAGCAAACTATGCTGGTGCCCAGCAGTCAACACAGAGTTTTCTTATGACAGATAAAAGATAACGAGAGCAGCATTTATTTTATTGGGAAATGTGAAAAAAAAATCAAAAGACTGTTAACTTCCTAAAATATTAGAAACTAATTTTGTTCTTATAAATAAATAAAATGGTGTTTCTCTTTTTTAAAAGCTTTAATCCTCATCCTTGCTGCTAAAAAAAATAGTCAACGTTATGTCACTTCTGAAGGATAAATTTTGGGGTATTTAAAATAACATGTGTTAGGAAAACTGAACCACGTTTGCAACTGCCATCGTTATGCTTTGTTCTTGGTAGAATCATCTTTGTTTCTTCTTTTTACATCCCAATTATAAACCCTGGCCATATCTGCAAGAATTGTCAAAGAAAATGCAAATGTCATTCAAAAGAGAGAAATCATACACACAAAATACTGGTGAAAATTAGTGTTGGAGCCAGCTTGCTATATCATCAATTGTTAAGAAAATACCAGGACAAAGTGCCATCAACACTAAACCAACAACTGGCTAGCCCATCTAGTCAAATATGGTACTTTTACTTAACAAATAGGATCTAGACACTGTCAAGTTTTCAAGACAGTCCCTCATTTTGAACTTTCCAAGGTCCTTCAACCCGTATCTGCCATGTAATAGTGAAATCAAAATAACAATTAGTAATTTTCTCTTTTACTCTCCCTTTAGTTTCCCAGGACATTCATTCCATTTATGAAACATCTGTTTCATGTGAGGGACTGGACAAAGCCCTACAGGAAGCAGGTGAAGCCCCTCCCCTCACAGAGATGGCTCCTGTGCAACTGTCCTTGACCGTCAGGCTCTCGTGTGCAGGAGCACCTTCTGCACCATCAACGACGGCATTTCTCCAAGCTTGCAGGGCTCATCTTGAACGATTTCCTTTTCTTTGGCTCCTGTAGCTATCTAGCCACTGGCTTCTCTTGGGTTTTGCTCACACAGGCACCACCTCTGCCTTGGCCCTCTTCCTCTCACAGATGGATGAAGTCTTTCCATAGCAGCAGTCAGAGGGCCCCCTGCACTATGCCTCAGATGTGCCTGCCTTCCCTCCCACAAGCACTGAGCACTGGCCATGGACTACATGTGATAGAGAATAATTACTAACTAATAATTTATAACCACTCCTCGGAAGGAAGATGGGGAAATCTACTTCTGTAGCGATATCGCCTCAGAAACCCAAGGAGGGGTCGCTGAGTCGGGTCTGACTCAACGGCATGTAACAACAACAATAATTAATTAGGGTTATTGGCACACAAATTATACTGGAAGAGGGCTAGGGCAGGAAGAGGTCATTGGCATGAGATGAGACTGGCTGGACATAGTGTGAAGGACAGATGGGAGGAACAGACTGGGGAAGGAGCAAGTTCAAGTTGTAAACTAGAGCCAGCAGCCTTAGCACAGAGGGCTTGATTGGAGAAATACTGAGGAGGAAAATTTGACAAAAGTACAGTGGTGAGGAAGACAGAAGAGTGAAAGGTGACTGGGGGGTTGGTCAACGACTGCCACGGGACCCCCAGAGGAGCATCGGTTAGAGGGGAAAGGCAAGCACTTACTGTCTCCATATGCCTGTCCTTTCCTGAGATTAGGACATCCTGCCCTTTTCTTCCTCCCCCATCTCTTCTCTCTGCCATCTAAATCCTCCATTGCCTTTTACAGCAGCTCAAGGTTCAGCTTCTCAACAGAACCTCCTTTGACCTAATTCTAAGTCACATCTATCTTTCCCTAACTCTCAACTGAGGAGCCCTGGTGGCACAATGGTTAAGCACTCGGCTGCCAACTGAACGACTGGCAGTTCAAACCCACCAGCTACTCTGCAAGAGAAAGATGTGGCCGTCCACTTCTGTAAATATCACAGCCTTGGGAACCCTAGGGGCAGTTCTACTCTGTCCTGTGGGGTCACCATTAGTTAGAATTGACTCCTCAGCACACAACAACTTTAAATTGCCTTGGTGCTGCATACATAAACTTCCTTTTGTTTTGCTATGAAATTAAAATGAACATTTAACTGCTTTACATGTGTAGTTCTAATAGAGGAAGACTCTGCCACCAGTCCCACACTCCACATGGCTTAGCACAACTGCATGAACGTAGGAGACCTTTTAACAAATGCTTGTGGAATTAAACTACTAAATTAGCTAAGAAGGTGTCTGGGAAAATATCTGGAATAAAAGTACTCATTCACCCATCTGAATTTTCTATTTCCATACTTTCATACTTCGAATTAATTAATTAAGCTATCTTCAAACGGATTATAGTATTGCTTCTAAATGTTATCTATTACTCTCATAAATTCTGTAACTTCATATTAGCATAAGAATATGAACGTTTTCATTAAAACAATGCAAATAAAAATGTTTTTTTTAAAAGAACTTTTTCCTTTATACTTCCTTTTTAAAAAAAAAAAAAAAGAAAGGATACTGACTTCTGTGGTAGTAAATTGATCTCGAAGAAAATCAAGGTCTTCCTCAAGAGAATCAAGATTCTTTGTGGCAGTTGCTAAGTTCTTTTCCAACAGTGCGTGAGCTTCATCAATATCGTATTCAAGCATTACATTTGCCTGAAGAGAGACAGCAATGACAATTACAAACATTTACACAGTGCTTTCTAGGTTTGAACAGGGTTGGCAAACTAAGGCCCTCAGGCCAAATCCGACCCACTGGCCATTTCTGTAAATACAAACTTATCGGAACCCAGCTCTGCTGCATTAATTTACATCTCATCTAGGGCTGCTTCTGTGCAACACCCTTACTCGGGTCACAGCCCTGATGTAAGGGGAGTTCCTCTGGGGTGTGGCCTACATCACCTTTCATCAAAGGAGAGAGAAGTGAGCAGAGAGGTAGAGACTCAGGGTCTCTGCGTTGAAACCTCCTAGACCAGAGTAAGACTGAAGCCAAGGCACGTGGAGATCTCCAAGGAACACTGGGCCCACAGATGCTGAAAGGAGACAAGGGCCTCGCCCAGAGCTGAGAGAGAAAGAAAGCCTGCCCCTACAGCTGGGGCTCCAGATTTGGCCTGGTAGCCTCCTAAACTGTGACAGAATACATTTCTGTTTGTTAAAGCCACGCCCTTAGTCTTAGCAATACCAGAGAACTACAAATGTGGAAGATGGGCACATGATATTAGTGTAAAAGTACAGTAGTCATATCGTAAATGGACAGCATGAGGTATTTTCAAACTCAACACACCCACGCAACCAGCATCCAGATCAAGAACTAGATCATCACCAACACGCTGGCCCCTTTCCAATCACTAGCAGCACCTCCACCTCAGAGGTAACCATTATACAGCTGAACGACTTTATACGTGTTTCCTGGATATGTTCCTCTTAGAAGTGACTGCAAGTCAACTGCCCATTTTTCTAGTGTTGCCTTTTTATTTATATTTAAATAAGTTTAGGGAAAAAACTATTAAAATATTAGAAAAATTACAATATTTAAAAATGTGATGGAGGGAGAGCATTAAGATAAAATAGAAAATGACTAATGTCTGGTAAATTTGATTAGATTAAAAATGTAAATTTTCTGTATAACAACAACAAAACAAAACAAAAAAACCATAAACGAGAGAAGTGACAGATAAGGAGAAAATATCTGTAAAGCATAAAAGAAGAACTGGTATGCAGGACACATAAAATCTAAGAAAAAACTAAAAATCCATATGAAAAAAGAATCCAATAGAAACATGAGCAGACAGAAGAGAATACAGATGAGCATCTGTCAGACTAAGAAAGTCTAATAAGATACCATCTTTGCCTGGAAAACTGGCAAAAATTTGAAATGTGCTGAGTCTGCGAATGAAAGGGTTTTTTTACATGCTGTTGGAGAAAATGTCAATCAGTAGTCTTTCCAAAGAGTAATTTGATATACTCTGTTGTAACTGTAGGAGCCATGGTAGCATAGTGCCTAAGGCACTTGACTGCTGGCCAGAAGGCTGGCGGTTCAAACCCACCAGCCACTCCTAGGAAGGAAGGTTGGGCAATCCTACTTCTGTAGTGAAACCCAAGGAGGGGTCGCTATGAGTCGGGGCCAACTTGACGGCACATAACAACAACAACAACAACGATTGTAACTGTAAATGTGCATACTCTTCAGACCCAGCCATTCCCATCTTTAGGAAATGTCTTTGTTGCAAAAGTTTACATGTGCAGACACGTTCAACTTGGAAATATTATGACACAGCTATATGACAGATTATTAAGCTATTTAAACCATGGAACTATGTCTACTCATAAGGAAAGACTGCTATGATATTAAGTGAAAAGGAGGTGCTAAGAAACATGTGGGAGCTCTGGTAGCATAGTGGCTAAGGCACTTGACTGCTAACCAGAAAGCTGGCGGCTCAAACCCACCAGCCACTCCTCAGAAGGAAGATGGGGCAATCTACTTCCGCAGTGATACTGCCTCGGAAACCCAAGGAGGGTTCGCTATGAGTCGGGTCCGACCTGACGGCACATAACAACAACAACAACAAACATGTATAACATAATTCCATTTTCATAAAAACATCAACAAAATCCCTAAATTCAATATATGCATAGTTATTAGAATAAAAGAAATGGAACAAAAACATATTCAAAGATGTAATAGAAAATATCATTCCTGAACTAAACACTTGATTTTGTGAATCAAAAAGTCATATTCTTTCTAGAAAAAGACTTAATACGGTAAAAAAAAAAATCAACACTGAGACGGATTCAGATTTTAAACTCAAAGAATAAGAAAAAGGATGAGCAAGCAGTAACACTGACTCTTTTCTTTTAAATACTTAACTAAAATTAAAGGAGTATGGGGATTCCAGTTGTGGGAAAAAGTGTTACAAAAAGTTTCAAATTCTTAAAATAATACAGCTAACTAAGGGAGCTCTGGTGGCGCAATGCCTAAGGCACTTGACTGCTAACCGGAAGGCTGGTGGTTCAAATCCACCAACCACTCCTTGGAAGGAAGGTTGGGCAATCTATTTCCGTAGCAATACTGCCTCGGAAACCCAAGGAGAGGTCGCTGAGTTGGGGCCAACTCGATGGCACACCACCACCACAACAAAGGAAGCCAGAAGGAAGTTTCTACATGCTCATCTGCTCACCTCTCAGAGCTTACCCAATGGTCCCATAAGACTTTCCTTACAATCAGCTGACCAGGAAAAAAACAATCTGTCCTGGATGGGTGAGCTTATACCACTGCTAAGAGGAGGAAGATAGGAAAACCATAGACCTTTTTAGGTTGGGGAAATCATCTCAAACGGAAACAGATGGTTTCAGAAAATGAACTCCAACTTTGATGTCTTTGTAATAAACTTTTCTCCGAGACTCTGAAGGGATCTTTCTAGAACTAATAAACTCTTATGAGGAAGACATATTTATTGAAAGTTCAGCAATGCATTCTAATTTTAGCTTCTACTTCTTTTCCTACTGTTTCATGTAAGAGCAGTGAGGGAGGGAGGCTTTTGGTCAGGTTAGTTACGCTGTTGTCATCTCACTCCTAATTCAAGCCATTTTCCAATATGAACCGCCTCCACCATCAAAGGGAGACAAGGCCATTACCTGCATCAAGCCGCACTGTTCACAAACGTCAGCTGAGGAAGCTGTGTCTGCTCGATTTACTTACCCCCAACCACAGACACACTTTGTCAGTAGGGGGAACCGAAGCTTTGCAGTACACGTTATCTGCCAGTAAGAATCTGGTCTCCAATGCACTGGTGGACTCCTTCAAAAAGAAGTACACACTGTAAACACGCCTGTTTCCTACCAAGCTGGTGAAGAAGAAGTCTCTGAGTTGCACATAAGACAATTAAAGCAGTACCAGCATGCAGACTAAGTGTAGTGGTAAGAGACACAAAGACTAGGGCAGATGGCTGGGCACGCATTCTGGCTCAGCTATTTACTGGCTGTGTAAACTTGGCATTCACTTACCCTCTCTGTGTCTCCGGTCCCTCATCTGTAAAAGGAGGATACTAATAGACCCTACAGGAATCCCCGGATGGTGAAAATAATTAAGCACTCCATTTGGCAGTTCAAAAGCACCCAGAGGCACCTTGGAAGACAGGCTTGACAATCTGCTTATGAAAGGTCACAGCTTGAAAACTCTATGAGCAGTTCTACTCTGCATACATGGGGTCACCGTACATCAAAACCCACTTGATGACAACTAACAACCACAGTCTGTACATACACACACATAAAACTGTTAAAATCTGATTAAAGTCAATGGATTGTACAAGAGTTAGCTAGTATTATTACTTCATCAATGATTCATGCAAAATCAAGTAATAAATCCAATATATATAAACAATCACTTGAATATAATAGGTTTATCAAATTTAATCTTTATAACCTGGTTTGATTTAAGGAGTACTAGATTTAGACTCAGGAGCTCTGGTAGCATAGTGCCTAAGGCATTTGACTGCTAACCAGAAGGCTGGCAGTTCAAACCCACCAGCCACTCCTCAGAAGGAAGGTTGGGCTATCTACTTCTATAGTGATACTGTCTCAGAAACCCAAGGAGGGGTCGCTATGAGTCAGGTCTGACTCATTGGCACACAGCAACAACAGATTTAGACTTGGAAGCTCTATCATAGTGCCAAGGCATTTGACTACTAACCAGAAGGCTGGCGGTTCAAACCTACCAGCCACTCCTCGGAACGAAAGGTGAGCTACCTACTTCCGTAATGATACTGCCTTGGAAACCCAAGGAGGGATCGCTATGAGTCAGATCAGTCTTGACAGCAGTGAGTTTTTTGAGTTTAGACTTAGAAGATTCTGAAATCGAGCTCTGCCAATAACTAGCTGAAACTGATGAAGCTCTAGGATTCTTTGACTCATCCTTGTTCTTAAGGAAAGCCAAATGGATCCTACAGCACACATAAAACAACAGGGCCCACAGAGTCAAGGCAAGCAAGACTCTATGTAAGCATCCTAATTCACTCATACTTACAAACAAAAACGCACTTACTTTTTTCTTCTGCATGTATTTAAGAATTTCTAAAGTCTGCTTAATTTCTGGAATCTGACTTTTTAGCCTGTGAACAAGAAAAAGGTTATAGAAAATGAAAATGAAACAATTTTACAGGTGAGACTAACACTCCAGGACATAGTCTTATTAGCTGTGTGTTTCCTAGTGCTACATTCTTAAGGACCATTTAAAGATATAAAATACTGGAGATATTATCGCCAACATTATGGAATGCCTATGTGTACAAAGCCCTTTTCCATATGTCAAATATTTAATGATTATTTAGCATTTCTAGAGCTACGAGCTTCAAACAAGGGGTTTCAGAGGCTCTGCACTAGATCTGAGTTGCATTTTAAACAGAAAAATTTTAAAACCCATTTTTAAAATGTGTTCACACAATGGAATACCACGCAACCCTAAAGAATAATGTAGAATCTGCAAAACACCACATAACATGGATGAACTTGGAGGACATTATGCTGAGTGAAACAAGTCAATCACAGAAGGAAAATATTATATTAGTCCATTATTATAAAAAATCAAGGAAATGTTTCTAGATGGAAGGAAATTTTCTTTGTTGGTTACCCTGGGTAGGAGGAGAGGGGAGGGAACACTGTTAAGACAGGTAGAGACAAGTACTGATTTGGGTGAAAAGAAGGGCAATGTACCAAATGTGACTGATCAACACAGTGACACTGAGGAAGAGGAAGACATAGAGAGGTGCATGGGAGGCACAGACAACAAAGACAAACCCTTTTACACATACAGTACTGCGTTGTCAGTGAAGGCAAACAAAGCTATATGGGTGGACAGATGGGTAGACAGGCTGAACTATTAAGTATGTCTATGCAGGGGGCTGTGTGCCCAAGACCATGTATAAGGCTGGCAGACAATGCTTCTACAAGTGTATTTGTATGTTCTGTAAGAATTCCCAGGTACATAGTAGAGCTGACAAAGGACAAGGCTATAGTCATTTCTTGGCCACAGCCAGCTACCCAGAGGGAGCGAGTAGCTGGACCTGTGGGCTTGGGACCATGGTCGCAGGGGACATCAAGCTTAACTGGCATAACATACTACACAAAAAAACTGTTCCACATCCCACTTTGCGGAGT